ATCAAAACCAACAGTAAGATCCCCGACACCAGATTCTTGTACAGTTTTTTTTTTGTTAATGGCTCATATGTGAACAATTATTCGATATTTATGGGAATTATTCATGTGTGAACAGGGGTGTATATGAAAAAAAGTCGTAAACGACACAAGTGTGCATATATGTCAATCCGTGTTTGTATTTAACACAAGGGTTCATATATGTCAATTTGTGTTCGTAATTGACACAAAGGTTCATATATGTCGAGTTGTGTTCATATGGTCATACATGTTCATCATCTTTCGTATGTTTATTTGTGTCAATATGTGTTCATATTTATACCAAATGTACATATAGGTCAATCTGTTTTCGTAATTGACACAAGGGTTCATATATGTCAATTTGTGTTCGTAATTGACATAAGGGTCATATATGTCGAGTTGTGTTCATATGATTGTACGAATGTTCATATATGTGAATTTGTGTTCATATGGTCACACATGTTCATCATCTTTCGTATGTTCACTTGGGTCAATATGTGTTCATATTTATACCAACTGTACATATAGGTCAATCTGTTTTCGTAATTGACACAAGTGTTCATATATATCAATTTGTGTTCATAATTGACACAATAGTTCATATATGTCGAGTTGTGTTTATATGGTTGTACGAATGTTCTCATATGTGAATTTGTGTTCATATGGTCACACATGTTCATCATCTTTCATATATGTCAATTTGAACGATACCGAAAACTTTACTACCGAGTCTCCTCCACCAATCACAAATTCATAAACATTAGAGATATAAAATCAATATTGAAAAAAATAACAAGATTAATAATAAGTTAACACAAATCATGAGATTTTATGATTTTGTAACTCTCAATGAACGATATAGGAGTTACATAAAAAAGAAAATTACATATGTACCCTTGTCATTAAATTCTAAGATGGATAAGAACCTAATACTAAGATGGATTGTGATTGGTTGAAAATGGTTAATAAAGTTAACACAATAGTTTGGGTTAACATTTGAACCAAACTGTCTCTCTCTCTCTCTCTCTATATATATATATATTACACACACACACACACATATATATGGGTTGTTTCTTTTTGCTAACCTAATAAATGGTGTTAACTTTGTGAACCAATTTTAGCCATTCATCTTGGAAATCTATTGCTTTACATTCATTATGACATTGTTGTAATAAATTAGAATATGATGCGTTATAAACATAGATGACTCTTATGAACAAGGGTATATTTGGAAAGAAAATCATAAAGATTTTGTGACGTCCATCTTTCATGTTAGTAAACACATGCACTATGTAGTCTAGTTCCGATATGAAATAAATGTGGAATGATACTTGGTTCATATATGAACAAACTTCAAGTTGTGCTTATTAATAATGTTCGTGTGTTTACTTCTTCAATTTTTTTTTAAATAATTGTAATTTGTACATAGCCGGTTTGCATTCCATGTATGTGGTAATCTGGTTCAAATATTAACAAATTATTTTTTTTAAATGTTGAAAAACGAGATGGTTCACCTATGAACAAGTATTTACTCATGTATGAAAACCCATTTTAGAACATTGTTCATAGTATCACCTTATGTGAGCTTGATCATTAATGATCTTGAAACCCCATAAAAATTCTTAAGTTAATTAGGTGTATCTTCATCTATCACATAATAATAATAATAACAAGAATCATGAAATGATTAAAAAAATGTAATTAATTTACATTAAAATAAAGATCAAATCGAGAATTACATTTTTACTTGTATTAAATAAATTCATCATATGCATCAACCAAAAGTGTATCTCGTTAGTTTACTAGTTCATTAAAGTTTTCAAAGTTAACATCATTTATTTGGATAATAAAAAGATCATGCCTATCTATACTACCTTAATAATTTATTTACATCAAAGTCTTGATTACAACACAACAAGCATAGAGTACTGCTTTTTGAAGCATAAAAACTGAAAATCTTGTAATTACTAATTATGATGCGTTAGGTACAAGTCATTGATGCAAGCTTTTTGAACTCTCCACCAACAAATATGGTAAACACCAATGTTTCTTTCTTTAAGAAAAAGTGTTTCCTTCCTTTTTCAGCTTTTAAAAAAAAATGTTTCCCTTTCATGCTTTCTATTAGGGAAGGTTAAAGAGTTGCTTTCTTAGTCACTCTTTTTCCTTTTCCCAAATTCATATATATCATATATAATGTATCATCAAATTTGGGGAAGGAAAAGGCTTTTTTGAAGATGTAACTTACAGATGTTACTTTTAAGGAAGAGGCTTTTTTCCTCCCTGGTTTGATGTATCAAGCATACTAGGACAGCTGTATTGAATGGCTCCAAATCATCTGTAGCATATAATAAGTTGTAGGAGGTTTAGTTTTTTCATTTTCTAAACCCAACATTAGTTGTAAGCTCCCAAGCTCCCATATCCTTCAATTTCAGCTCTAAGTACCAAGTTGAGTTTGAGTTTCATTTTGATTTTTATTTTGTAGTGCACCACCTCTGTTTTGGATCTTCATAAACACTGTATGCTAGATTTATTTTGTAGTTCACCACCCCTGTTTCGTTTTTTCCTATTTAACTTTACAGGAAACATCAACTCCATCATATCGATTGAAGTTGCTCTTCTCTAATCTATTTCATTTTGCTCCAACTCGATTTAGCTCTGGGTAGTAAGGTACCTGGATTTTATATGAAAACCAACAATATGGTCACGTGGATGCACCAAATTCTGCCTTTTATAATAGTACTTTTTTGCCTCTCTTTTTTACTAATCCATTTTCCTTGGTCGGATATAGAAAATGCAAAAAATTGAATGAACTGATAACTAACATATTAAGGCATTTGTTTAGTTTTCAAGTGTGACAATTAGCCATGTACCTTTTATATACTAAGGCATCTGAATCAGAAAATACAGAAGAAGGTCCTCCATCCAGCAATACCCATACAAATTAATAGTATCAAGAAACCCATAAAAGTAAAAATATATATATATATATATATAAAACATCAAGGATCTCCATGCTCTGTTTCTTTTTTGGGTTTTAAAAAACAACCATAAGTCTATTGTTTCCAGATTCTTGAACCTTCATTATAAATCATTCACAAATATACTAACACAGCTAAATGAGTAGGACTATGGGAATTTTTGGACCAATCTTCCATTTGAATTATGCATACTACACATCTACGCATATATACATTAGAGTTGTTGAGGGACGAGATGATTCATCAGACTCGAACCATTTAACTCGTTAAAATGACAAGTTTAGATAACTATTTTTGATAAAAATAGACTGGTTCAAACTGAATTGTTAAAGTTAATATGCATGTCTTACTTAAAAGATGACATTTTTGGGTTCACAGAATCAGCTGTTGTTTGGTCCTTTTGTATATGTCGCTCAACAACAACATTTTCTTCTCAAAATTTTTAAAGATATATACATGTTGCCTATTTTTTTTATTATAAGCATATATTTATATATTTCAAATAGATTCTGATTAGTGTAACAAACTTGTAGATTGAACACTCCATATAATGTTGATGTTTTTTCATCATTAAACGAAGTGCATGCACAATGGAGCTTGACAAGAGTTCGTGTGGACTTCGTTTGGGAAGATGTTAGGGAACAAAGACTAATCATTTTTCTAATTGATCAAAATGTAAGTTAAAAATATTCACATTTTAATTGCACGGTAAAAGAACTTTAAACCTATTTAACAATTTTATTTTATTATATTTTAGAGGAGAAAAATGGTAGCAATTGTTCATCATATCCCTTTAATTCAAATATACAACCAAATGAACTTGGTGAGAGGTGCTTTCTCTTTGAATCATTTCGAAATTGAATATAATCATGGTATTGTGAGTAACGAAGGTTATATGCTCACCTTCAATGAATTTTACATCCTAATTTCCCGAAACACAACCTTCATACCATTGTTGGGGGATGTCGAAATGACTTTTCGTTCTATCCGTTGGCGCCTTCTATAAGAATTCTTGTAGAAGATCAGACTATGCGAAAATTCATGATCGGTACATCTAAATCCTTTGATACGTTTATATTTTGAAAACAATAAAATCATGTTTGATAACATAAATCTAATTTTTAAAATATGGTAATTTTTGTTTTAGATGTTGTTGGAAAAATCATCTCGGGTCGGCGAGTAAGATGTTTCCGAACTCATGATTATTTGTGATTTGGATGCTCTGATATATTTCTCCAAGATGAACAGTAAGTGTATATATTATTAACCAATTAACAAACTACCATGATAACTAACATTTTTATTACTCATAATAGGATAAATATAATAAAGATAAGGTTGTATGATTCTGCACGATTCAGTTTTATGGAGATAACTCGTGCAATCGTAGATAATTCTATAATATATGTATCTCAAGTTAAACTCATCTATTTGCCTACTCGTGCAACTGAAAGTACGTAACAAGTTGCTTTTATTTTTAAGTACTCTATTTTATTATTTACATATTTTATTTTATTAAAAATGTATATTCGATTATTTTCAGATAATTTTTGAGTTCTAAGAAGTTAACTACGATAGTGTTAGAACCACACATGCCAGAAGCAGATGCCGTTAGAATATTGATGACATAAAAATATTTGATTAGTGTTATCATGTATTTTTTGTCTTTCGTAGGGTGTTGCTGTCAATAATATGCCTGGAGGGAGAATGACTCACTCTAAATTCAAAATTCCTCTCAACCTTGATAATAACTCAATGTGCAACATAAAAAAAAACAAAGTGGGGCAGCTCAATTGATTCGAGATGCAAAAATAATCATTTGGGATGAAGCGTCGATGGCAAAGAGGCAAGCGGTGGAGGGACTCGATCGAATAATGCAAGACATCATAGGGTGGCACTCCTATTCAGCAGAAAGGTAATGGTTTTAGGGGTGATTTTAGACAAGTATTACCGGTCGTGAGGCGTGGAACCCGAGCACAAATTGTAGATTCTAGCTTACGGATGTCATCTCATTGGTCAACGATTAAAAAGATACGGTTAATGCTCAATATGAGAGCACGCACTGATCCGTGGTTTTCAGATTTTTTATTAAGAGTCGGTGATGGAGATGAAGAAGCGGTTGACGAAAGTTTTATTCGCATACTGGATGACATGACTATTCCCTATACTGATAAAGGTAGGTCAAAAGATGCGTTGATTGACACTATCTTTCCATCTTTGCAAATCAACAAAGCTGATTCGGATTATATCATTTCTAGGGCGATATTATCAAGTAAAAATGAGAATGTTAATGAGTTTAATGATCAGTTGATCGACAAGTTTTCTGGAGATAAAAAAATATACTACAACTTCGACGAAGCAGAAGATGATAAGAAYAATATCTATCCGATGGAGTTCTTAAACTCTTCAACTATTAGTGGTTTGCCTCCTCATTACTTTCATCTCAAGATTGGATGCCCAATAATATTGTTACGAAATATCGATCCATCAAATGGATTATGTAATAGCGGTAGATTGATATGCAGAGGCTTTCAACAAAACGTCATCGATACAGAAATAGTTGTTGGTCAGCATGCTGGAAAGAGAGTATTTCTGTCGAGAATTCCCTTATGTCCGTCTGAAGATAGCATGTTCCCATTTAAGCTAAAGAGAAAACAATTTTCAATTCGGCTTAGCTTTTCTATGACAATCAATAAAGCTTAAGGTCAAACAATTCCGAATGTAGGTGATTATTTACGTGGCGTTGTCAAGAGGGATATCATGGGGTAATACGAAGGTGTTAGTGAAGCTTGTGAAAAAAATCAATTGTGTTGGAGTCTACACCTCAAACGTCGTCTATCAAGAAGTTTTACGTGATGTATAAGGTATAATCAACAATTATATTATTCACATTTGGTATCATATGTTTCTATTAAAATCATTGCGCCATTTTCTACAGGAAATATTTACGGATGAGTGCATCAGGAAAACTAAACAACAGTTTGGATATACGGATGAGAATTATTTACAAATGTATTTCTTTGTTCAATCAAGAATTTCAAGTTTTATAATGAGTTCTGAGTATATGGGTTTAGAAACCCAATACGTGTGCAATTATTTTTTCATTCGATCTTGCTAATACACCATATTTACTTTCAACTTTATATATTAGTTGATTTGCAAAATAAACACACAAACTCATGATTCAAGGCTAAAGTAATGTTTCAGAATTGTGTTTCACCCGTACTACATCGCACGGGTATACCACTAATATATATGTGTATGTGTAAGAATACAAAGTATTCCAATATATAAAAATAAAATATTTAAATAACACATTATACAATCACCAATTGTTAATATTCAGTGGTCAACACAATCAAACTAACCGCAAAGCGTTTGCATGTCATTTACAACAAGTTTGTCCTTCATGTCTTGAACCATTTTTTGGTTTAAAGTAGTTATTTATATTATATGAAAGAACCCGTTTTTCAACAATTTTTTTTTTGTAATTTTATACTCATAAAAATAAACATAAATAAAAATAATAATAATTGGTTACATAAGTAAAACATAATCATTTTAAGATATTGAGAAGCAAATTAAGGCTTATCCAAACAGATAGTTTTAAGTATCCATTAAAGGGTGAGATTGTAGACAATGTTACGTGTCGTATAAAAGAGAGATGGTTAAAGTGGAAAGTGGCTAGGGAAGTGTTGTGTGATTGAAGGGTACCATTAAAATCGAAGGGGAAATTCCACAGGTTAGTCATAAGATCTAGTATGTTGTATGGTTCCAAGTGTTAGGCAGTAAGAAGGCTCAAGTAACAAACTTGGATGATGGAGAGATGTGGATGATGGGAAGGACGTGTGGTTGAGCCCTACTAGATAGGATCCCAAACGAAGTTTTCATATCGGAACTAGGGGTTGCACCTATCACAGGTGAATTGAGATAAGGTAGATTGAGGTGGTTTCCACATGTTATTAGGAGATTGTTTACATCACTACTGAGGAGAGTGGAAAGTGTGACGGTTGAGGGGTGAGGTGGGGTGGGCCTTAGAGAACATGGATTGACCATTTGAGGATGTACATGGCAGCTTTAGAAATTCTTTTAAGACATCGCCCCTTATAGGAGTTTTTGGAGGCACAAGACTAGAGTGGTTAAGTTTTAGTAGGATCGGTAGTGGTTACAGTTGAGAGTTTTGAGAGGCAGGTAGAGAATACGCAAATAGGCTCCTCGTATGCACTAGTTGCGCTGGACTAGACCTGACTTTCTTTCTTGTCTTTCCTACTTGTATTACCTACATGTTTCATTTGCTATGTATATTCGTTTAATTTCTACTTGATTTCATGTCTTGCCTGATTACAATGTGTATTTGCATATTATTTAATCATTATTCTACATGTTATACCATTACAATAAAATTGGGTTTATAGGAGGCTAAAAAACTTTAAACGTCCTAATAGACCGTTTTATTAGATTTGATTTATAGAACCAAAAGACGTTGTAGTAAGTTTATAGGACACTTTTGGGCATATTAAAAGTGTCCTAAAGAATTAAAAGCATCCTAAGAATTAAAAGCATACTAAAGAACTTGCTAAAATGCCCAAAAGCGTCCTAATAACTTATACAACGTCTTTAAATAGGACACTGTTGGGTTTGAGTTTATGTGCTTAGTGTTGTATCCAATCTTAGTCTCTCCATTGTAATTTTGTATTGTAATTGCCTACTATAAATAGGTCTTGTCTTTGTAATCTTTATACATGACTTTCACTTTCTAATCATTGTAAGACTTTAAAGAAATATACAAGAAATACTTTGAAGATTCTCTCTCAAACTCTACTACTTTCAAGATTCATAATTTGCCATTTTTGTGATCTTGATCTTGCATAAAGATTGGTTGATTAAGCTGGGAATAACAATTGGTATCAGAACAGATTGCAACGGCTTAGATGAATTCAGAAACAAGATTCGAGTTGATTTTGGACTGTTCTTGAGTGATGATTTGAATGTTCTTGACTATTTCTTTACTTTCTACTCAAATTCATCAATTTTTATGTGAATTAATCTGTATTTTTGGTTGAATTGTGTACGTTTTGTGTTAAAAACATACCAGGATCATTCAATTACATGATTGATTTGTTGTGTTGATTCAGTTTTAGATTTTTGAGTATTAAATTTTTTGAAACTGTTCTTGAAGAATCTTATCAAATTGATTGATTTTGATCTGTTTTTGCTCGAAATTGATATTACAATTTTGTTTGTGATATGTTTTCGAGTTTATCTGTGCAATTAGTATTCAATTTGATCTTGTTTTGAGCATTTCGGTATGCAATCTAAATTTTTTCTGCATTGCTTCATCTTCATCGTTCGAAGAACAATTCATCAAGCGATTCATCGGGTGTTAATTGAGTGTTGAATTGTTGATTTTTGACCTGTTGACCGATTTGTGAGTCTTATTGCTCAATATTTTGTGTAAATTTCATATTCATTACTTTATCCGATAACTTTGTTATTCGGATAAGCTTCGGACAAAGGGTATACAGATAGTTTTTGTTTGTTATACACAGAAGAGTCATCCGGAGAAGAAAGTAAACCGGTGAAGAGGTGTCCGATAACCTCTTGTAATCGGTGAAAACTTTATCCGACGAACATTGTGTCCGAAGATCCTTGTGTCTGGATTAAGGGTATCCGAAGAGTGTTTGTTAAATTGTTATTCGAATAAGAAATTCTTGTGCGATAAGAGTTGACATAGTGTTGTTCGATATCAATTCTTCCATGTCCGATAACTCCTTTCACCGATGAAGTCTTGTCGGGTGAAGTTATTTTCTTTTCTCAGGGAAGTGGAGTGCTTCATTTTCTTAAGTAAATTTTTTTTCTAAGTCGCAGAAGGGGGACATTATTCTTGAAAATTTCAAATCCAATCTTTGTCTATTTTCTAAAAAAAGATCATTTTTCAAGTCTTATATTGGTTTTGGGTGAATTTTTTATAAAGTCTTGAACTACAAAGTAAGGAATCTTTATCAATCAAAGTAAGTATGTTCGCGACATGCTGAAGAAATTTGATCTTTGCAACAGCTCATCTATGAAAACTCCTATGGCTCCTCCTCTTACTCTTAATAAGGATCCAAACGGAAAGCCTGTAAACACAACTGCTTACAGAGGAATGATCGGCTCCTTGCTCTATCTCAYAGCTAGCCGACCCGATATCATGTACTCCACTTGTCTTTGTGTAAGATATCAAGTTGAACCAAAGGAATCCCATCTGATCGCTGTCAAACGCATATTCAGATATCTTAAAGGAACTCCTAATATGGGTCTTTGGTACCCTAAAGATTCAGGTTTTGACCTTATTGGTTATTCGGATAGTGATTTTGCAGGTTGCAAAATTGATAGGAAAAGC